AATAAAACTTCCTTGAAAATTGAATAATTAGGTTTTGTTTATTCTATTTGGTCGAGAAAAATCGAGTTAAAAATATTTTTAACACTAGTGCTAAAAATATTTTCAACTCGCTACTTTGTGAACATCATCTTTCAATACTCTTAACAACCATTAAAAGTGTCACTTTTGGCGACAGTTGTTTAAAAAATGAGTTTTTGATCATTGGAGATTAGCGAGAAATATGTCTTCCAATTATCTTAATAATGAACCTTAATAATGACGTTTCTTGTTAATTCTATTATTATTATTTCAGTTTTTGTATTCTTTGTATATTCAATTCAATATGATTTCATCTAATTTTCGTTGATGACAACAGGAATAACATCACTTAAATCCATTGAGACCACTTTCTCCAACCAGAACAAATTTACTCTCTCCAGACACGCGTTTCGGTGACCTCAGCATCATCAATAGATTTCTAAAACTAATTTGGATGGGTTGCAGAGATGAGAGCATCGCTAGGAAAAGTATGTACAGTTGAAAGGAGACAATGTTGAAAAACAAAAAAATTATTCTGAAAAAAAATTTCTTGTATCTTTGTTAGGTCGATAACTTTTCAGATCACCCTCGTATACTTTGCAGAAAACACAAGAGATATCGTGTGTTTGAATTAGCTTTAGTCACCTACTGATGATGCTGAGTTGACCGAAACGCGCATCTAGAGAGAGTAGAAAGTGTTTTCAATGGATTCAAGTGATATTATTTTCCATTAAATTCGCACTACTTCGTGTTATTAATATTATCAATTGTTTTGCAAATGCCGTCGAATAGTTACACTTGAAAAGTAATATGAGAAACAAATTAGTAAAAAATGCAGAACGAATCGACGAGTCGTTTGTCTCTTTTTTAGATTTTTCTTGCTCATTTCGGAGATTTTTACCACATGTTTCAGAAACAGTGAAATGTTGATTGAGTGCCAGTCTATTTCAAAATCGAAACTGATTTCAAAATAAATTGAAAACTTTCCATTTCAATGGTCATAAGAAAGAATCATTTTTATTATTAGATTTTTGGGAACAATGAAGTTGAATTGAGTCAAATCAAGTTATACATACCTTCCAAATTATTTTTTTCCACTGGAGAAGAATTGATGGCTGATACAATATACACCACTACAAGGGTGAATAACAAAAAAATCGATGAGAATTTCATTTTGCTACCTGACAACAATTATAATTCTTTCAAATCTGATTCGAATTATAGTAACTCCATCAAGCTCATATATTTATACTTCTCAACAAGGTCTTATCTCAATATCTGAAGTGCAAGAAAAAGTCCTTACCTATTGTTTCAAATCCTTTGGTGGCGACATATTATTCGCTTTTATTGACACAAACAAATTTGGTTCCTACTTCAATGATTTTGAAAACAAGTAGTTATCGTTTGTGTTGAAATATATATTGTCATTTTGAGGACACTAATGTATGTCGAACAATTGATAAGAAAAGCAGTAATGTGAAGTGTTGTGTTTACTGGGTATCTACATTTCATGAAATGATCCAGTGTTGAAAGATCTTTCAGTATGAAAAAATTATTTGGAAAATTTGTCTTCACGAACAGAACTTGCAAAGATAATTATTCAAAAGGTTGTCATTAAGCTGGTTCTGATCTAAGCAACTAATTTAAATGAATTGATTGAAGATACATGAAATCAAATGTTTCAAAATCAAAGCTCTTTCAATAATGAAATTTTCGTGTGATTTGAAAACTGGTCTTCATGAAAATAACTTACGAAGGACCCGTGGGTTGAGCTATCAGGCGCGTCCTCACGTGGCAGATAGGGGAACGGCCAGGGGACTGGAGGCCCTGACCGGGAAGCCAATGTGGCCTCACGGACGGGGTCGCTGGACTCCTGGTTAGTGGCAGAATTAAATAAGTAGGGTGAGGGGAACTAAAACCATCCAAAAGCCTGGGTGAAACCTCATTGTAATCAGGCTACCTCTGGTAATGCGGGGCTCTGCCAGAGGTGACCAACTCTTCCCTTGCTACTCGTGGGACACATGAATAAAACACCACAAAAACAGAAACAACACAAACAAAAACCAATCTTGAGGCTGGACACAAGTGATCACCACAATCTAAGGCGGTGACTGGGATGAACAGAAATGTCAACCCCAATCTACCGCTTGGAATGAGGCTGGACATTGCAGATCACCTCCAACAGCAAGGGCACTTCCTGCGGTGGGCGCCAAGAGCTCCACCTTGAATAAAGGCAAGGAACCGGCTGCCCCTGCTCCCTCACTTGTACACCTCCACGGAGAGAACCCCAAAAAGGTTAAAGAAGCCGCGCAACGACAGTAATATCGCTGCACCTTCCAAAACCTTCGCGGAGGCCACCGTGATACACCTCAAGGTTGCCAAAGAGAGTGTGTGTTCGGCGAGTCTTGACCTTCACCTGGCAATATAAAAGGGATGTCCTTTCCTGGAAAGGACAGGATGGACGATGACCTAGGAGGACAACTCTTCGGGAGGAAGTACAATGGGTCACATGTGGCTGTGCTGTGAGTCTACACTCACCCTACCTACTCTACAGATACCAGAACCTACGAGAAAAATTGTTATAAAGTTTGTCATAAAGCTGGTTTCGATTTTCCTAGCGATGGGAATCAACGGCAAGAATCGAACATGTCGCAAGTAGCAAGACCATCAAAAACATATTGCAAAGGAGTTTTGTCTACTAAGATTCGAAACTTCAAAATGTTTCACCAAACAATTTGAAAAATGTCCAGAACTTGAAACTTTCCAAACGAAAAACCAAGTCATGGGTTCTCGAAATCCCCGGCCTACGAATCCATCGATACATGCTTTCGCTACCCCGCAGAAGGGTTATCGGCCGATCATAGTCTTGGATACGCCTTCACGGGCTAGAACATCGCCCTCCTCATTGCCCTTGTGACCCTCATGTCTGGGTATTCAAGTTAGAGTGCCCCTATTTTGAGTACTTCGCTCCTTAAGTGCGCTCAGACAGCTTTCCACCAGTCTTGAGAAGACTTGAAATGACCTGAGCGCCTCAATTACCGCCTGGCTGTAGGAGGAAATGGCAATGGTTTACTTTGTGACCTTCTACCTGTTTATTTCCCCTATACAGTGTTCGATGGCCGCTGGCCTGGAACACAGTTGCATTATGTCTGAGGCTGGGTGCGATTCTTATCTTTGCTCTGCCTCCGTATATACAGGATCCATCTGTATACCAAACTTCTTTCGCTTTTAAAGGTGGGCCGTTTTGCCAGTCCTCTTTATTTGATATGATGATTTTGAAATCTTTTTGAAAGTTGTACTGCAGAATTGTGTTATCCACGTGCATTCCTAGTATTGGATCTCCTTCAGTTCATTGTACAGTTTCAAGTATTCTGCACCGTGTGACTGGCCGATTGAGGTTTTCTCCTGCATTAGCCTGTGTGACACCAGTCGAGCTTCTTTTTGTATGTAGATGTGCAATTGTGGAAGTCCGAGTAGGACCGCTAAGTGCTGCAGTTGGAGTCGTTCTCATGGCCCCCGCGACACTCAGGCCTAAGACCTATACATGAAGGACCATATGTTTTCACCGACAGTAGTTGTATAAGTATACAGGGTGTAACTGAATAAGTGTAAAACATTCAAGGAGGTGATTCCTCATCGAAAAAAAGATAGGAACTTTCATATAAAGAAATTTCATTGGAGACACAGCCCCTTAAAGGGAGTACATAAAATTTGTATAACAATTTCTTTCACAAGCACTGAAAAATTTACAATATTGAAATTAACCTGGCTAAGACACTCAGCCAGAAATTTATTTGGTTTACCCCATGGTTGTAAGAGGTGGAAAACGCAACCCCTAAAATTCATTTCCAATGTAACTTTTTGTCTTATTATTTGTTTACCATTTAAAAATTCATTTCCGATAGCCTATTTCATTCTAAACAAAAAATGTCTCTTGGGTTTTTTGCCCAAAATAAACCAGTTCGCAGCAAAAAA